ACAGGTCATAAAAGGGGGTAATAGGTCTGTAGGAATTGGGCTTTAAGGGGAAAATCTTCTTTATATGGAAATTATTTCGAAAATTATGTGGGAAATCTTCAACAAATCCTTATAAAAAATAATTTATGGTTATGGAGAAAATAATTTAAGGTTATGGAGTAGTTCCCATTAAAAAAAAAAAATTGAACCAGATGATCTTAAAGGGAACCAGATATCTTTTTCGAGTAAAAACTGGACTTCGATAGACAGAAGACCTACCAAAAGTTTTTAACAGGGGTGTCAAAATCTTCTGCAGTTCTGTTAAATAGGCGATAGATCTGTAGAAATTGGACTATAGGAGGAAAATATTCCACATGACTACTGCACAGAGACAGAAGGCACTCCTCAGTCCCACCTATAGATAGGAGATGAGAAAATTCAGAGAAAATTAAAAAAAAATACCGAATATGAATCGAAACCTTTCAATGATGTTGGATTATAAGGGGAGAATCTTCTACATGACTTCTGCACAGAGACAGAGGACACTCCTCAGTCCCACTTATATATTGGAGATCTTTTTTGACTATTGACACTTCGATGAGAAAATTCGGAGAAATTAAAAAAAAACTTACCGAATATGAATCGAGACCTTTCTATGAAATTGGACTTACTTACTTAGCTGGCTTGTTACAGAACGGTTGTTCCATAAGCCGAGCTTAAAAAAGATTTCCAAGCGCGTCGGTCTTGTGCGCAAGTCCACCAATTTGGAAGACCACGTTCCAAGATGTTGTTTTCTACTTGGTCTTTCTATCTAATTCGTGACCTTCCCCTTCTACGGGAACCATCAGTAGGCTCAATTTTTTTGGATTTTTTTGGATTTTTTTTTTTTTTGGACTATAATGGAAAAATCTGCTACATAGCTTCGGCACAGAGACAGAGGACACTCCTCAATCCTATAGATAGGAAATCTTTTTTAATTATCGGCAATTCGATGAGAAAATTCGGAGAAATTAAAAAAAAACATACCGAATATGAATCGAGACCTTTCTAGGAGGGCTACGGGTGGGCAAAAATCAAGTAATATTGAAAATTGTCTAAAAAATATGTTTTCGTCGCCTGCAATTTCAGTAGAAAATTCGGCTAAACTCATCAAAATACCGGGTCATTTATATGGAAATTATTCCGAAAATTATGTGGGGGAAAATTCTCAACTGAGAAATGTGCTTTACCCCTCCAAATATCTCGAAAAATTTTGCTACATCGATGAGAACAATGCCCCCAAAAACCTTCAAATCATCGAAAATTGGTCGCCACCCATAAATGGAGACTATGTCTAAACATGGACCTATAGCTATAATCTTTTGTGTATGTGTTTGTCAGCCTTCAAGAACCCTCTATACCAAATTACAGCTAATTTGGTTTGAAAATGTACCCAAGCCCCCCAAAATATCGAAAACTGATCGGATCAGTTATATGGCGGATATATCAAAAAGTAAAGCGATATGGATAATTTTTAGTGCGGAGATTTTCTATCTAATGAGAACCCGAAATACCAAATTACAGTCAATTCGGACGAAAAACGTGCCCAAGCTCCTCAAAATATCGAAATGTGGTAGATACCTTTATATGGGAGCTACCCTAAAAAATGTGCCAATAATTATAATGTTTGGTAAGGAGAATAGTAACCCCATGAGAACCCAAAATATTAAATTACAGCAAATTTGGTTTAAAAACATGTCTCAGCCCCCCAAAATATCGAAAACTGGTCGATTCGGTTATATGACAGCTATACCCAAAAGTGAACCGATATTGCTAAATTTTGATAGAAATATTTAGCACCCCATAATAACCCCAAATATCAAATTACAGCCAATTTGGTTGGAAAATGTGCCCAAGCTCCCCAAAATATAAAAATTTGGCAGATACCTTCATATGGGAGCCTCACCAAAAAAGTGCACCGATATTGATAATTTTTGGTACGGAGATTTCCTATCTAATAAGAACCCAGAATCTCGAACTACAGCCAATTCGGTTGAAAAACATGTCCAAGCTCCCCAAAAATATCGAAATTAGGAAGGTACCCTTATATGGAAGCTACCCTTAAAATTTGACCAATATTAATAATTTTTGGCAGGAAGTCTTGCTACCCAAAGAGAGTTCAAAATACCAAATTACAAGCAAACTGGTTAGAAAATGTACCCAAGCTCGCCAAAATACCGAAAACTGTTCGGTTCGGTTATATGACAGCTATGTTAAAAAATAAACCGATATGGATCATTTTTGGAACGGAGATTTTTTTATCCAAAGAGAACCTAACATATCAAATTACAGTCAATTCGGACGAAAAACGTGCCCAAGCTCCCCAAAATATGAAATTTACCCGGGACTACCCTAAAAAATGCACCGATATTCATAATTTTTTGTAGGAATATTTGACACCCAATGAGAACTTAAAATACCGAATTACAGCCAACTTGGTTAGAAATTGTACCCAAGCCCCCCAAAATATCGCAAATGGGTCGGTTCGGTTATATAGCAGCTAAAACCAAAAGTGAACCGATATTGCTAATTTTTGATAGGGATATTTGGCACTCCATAAGAAATCAAAACATCGAATTGAAGCCAAATTCCAAAAATTCGTAATACTCTTATATCGGGACTACCCTAAAAAATGCACCGATATTCATAATTTTTGGTAAGGATTTTTAGCACCCCATGAGAACCCAAATTTCAGCCAATTTGGTTGGAAAATTTGCCCAAGCTCCCAAAAAAATTTAAATTTGGGAGGTACCCTTATATGGGAGTTACCTTAAAATGTTCACCAATATTTATAATTTCTGGTAGCGAGATAAAAATTGCACCTATATTTATAGTTTTTGGTTGAAAGATCTGACAACTCATGAGAACCCGAAATATCAAATTACCGCTCTCCAAAATATCGAAATTAGGGAGGTAGCTTTATATGGCAGCTTTGCCAAAACGTAGTCCTATATTGCTAATTTTTTATAAGGAGATCTAACACCCAATGCGAAGCCTAAATACAAAATTACAGCCAATTCTGATGAAGCACGTGCTCAAGCCCCCCCAAATACTGAAATTAGGAAGTTATCTATATATGGGAGATACCGTGAAAAGTTGATCAATATGAATAATTTTTGGCAGGAAGATTTCCTTCTCAATGAGAACCCAAAATACCAAATTACAGCCAATTCGGTTGGAAAAAAGCTACCAAAAATTCTGAAAAATGCCGAAAACCCTCAGGAAAAAATTTAAAAAATTAAATTTCTAAAATACGTAGTTCGAATATTCTAAATAAAATATATATTTTTTAAAATTATTAAATTTTTTTTAATTGTGACACGGAAATATTGAAAAATTTCTTACAAAAAATTTGCAAAATTTTTTTAAATATTTTTGTTTTGTTTTTTTTTTTGTAATTTTTATATTTATATCTATATCCAAAATTATTCTCAGAAAAATCGAATTTTTTGAAGAGGGTTCCAAAAACATTTTTTTTTATTTTTTTTTATAGTTTTTTAAAATGTTGACCTGAAAAATATTTTAAAATTTCTCAATAATAATATTTAATTTCTCTTTAAAAAAAATTTATAATTTTCAAAACAAAAAAAACATTTTTGAAAATTTCTCAATATTTTTTTCTCTTCTAATTTTGTCTAGGAATTTTGTTGTAGTGGTTTATTTTTTTTATTTTAAATTATTATTGAACTATTTATTTATTTTTTATATTTATTGAAAACAATTTTCTTTTGTTGTTGTTGTTGTTGTGTATTTTTTCTTTCTATTTATTTTATTTACTTAGTTCGATTTTGTGTTATTTTTTATTGTAACCAAAAAAATCTAAATCCAAAAAATAATTTAAAAAATTTTATTGTTTAAAAAAAACCTATTTTTTTATCTGCTTCAAATAAATTCTACACATATTCGTAACTAGATAAAGTAGTTTGTTTGGATTTTGCAATCGATTCGAGCGGATATTTCCCATCTAAAATGAGGCCTCAACCAGATAGGTGCCATCCATGGGTTGATTGTTTTGATTATTTTGAGCGTTACCGGTGGCTGGCATATATTTGCCGCAGGCCTGTAGAAAGGGGAAGGGGGAGAGAGAGGGAGGAAAAGAGAGGGAGAGAGTGATGGAGAAAAATACAAAAATGTTAGTAAATAAAATAATAAATTTAGTTTTTGGTTATTTTTATTAAATTAAAACAAGTAAGGTAAGTAGTAAAGTCGGACAGGGCCGACTATATGATACCCTTCACCACTTTGGTATATTCTACATATATATATCCTAATAGATGTCGCATTTTCGAAGGCACATTGACATGAAATTGAACGAACTCAAATATGTGAATTTTATCTAATAGGGTTTTGGTTCGCCATTTACTTTAAATCGGACGAAAATATATATGGGATCTATATCTAAATCCGAACCGATTTTCACGAAACTTAACACATATTATTCTGGACCTAATTCAGTAGGCTATACCAAATTTCGTGCAAATCGAAAGATTTATAGGGTCTTTGGTTCTCCATTTACCTTAAACCGGACCAAAATATATATGGGAGCTATATATAAATCTGAACCGATTTTCATGAAACTTAGCACACATCATTCTGGACCTAGTTCAGCACCCTATGTCAAATTTCGTGCAAATCGAAAGATTTATAGAGTCTTTGGTGCACCATTTACCTTAAATCGGAGGAAACTATATATGGGAGCTCTATCTAAATCTGAGCCTATTTTCAAGAAACTTAGCACCCATTATTCTAGACCTAATTCAGTAGGCTATACCAAATTTCGTGCAAATCGAAAGATTTATAGAGTCTTTGGTGCACCATTTACCTTAAATCGGAAGAAAATGTATATGGGAGCTATATCAAAATCGGAACCGATTTTCATGAAACTTAGCAACCATTATTCTAGACCTGATTCGGTAGGCTATACCAAATTTCGTGCAAATCGAAAGAGATATAGGGGTTTGGTGCACTATTTACCTTAAATCGGAATGAAAATATATATGGGAGCTATATCTAAATCCGAACCGATTTTCATGAAACTCAACACACATCGTTCTAGGCTTAATTCGGCACGCTGTGCCAAATTTCGTGCAAATCGGAAGATTAATAGGGTCTTTGGTGCGACATTTATCTTAAATCGGACGAAAATATATATGGGATCTGTATCTAAATCTGAACCGATTTTCACGAAACATGGCAAACACCATTCTAGGCTTAATTCAGTACGCCGTGCCAAATTTCGTGCAAATCGAAACATATATAGGGACTTAAGTGCACCATTTACATTAAATCGGACGAAAATATATATGGGAGCTATATCTAAATCTAAACCGATTTTCACGAAACTTAACACAAATAATTCTGGGCTAAATACAGTACGCCGTGCCAAATTTCGTGCAAATCGAAAGATATATAGGGACCGTTTACATTAAATCGGTTAAATATATATGGGAGCTATATCTAAATCTGAACCGATTTTTCCCAATGTCAATAGGGTTCGTCCTTGGGCCAAATAAATGAGCTGTGCCAAATTTCATCCAATTCGAATCATAAATGCGACCTGTGGTTTGTTTACAATTTAACATTGACAGACGGACGGACGGACATGCATGCATCGACTTATAAAGTGATATTCTCAAAAGGAACCATGTGTCTATCACGTTTCCTTTTGCCTGTTACAAACATATGCACAATGACAAAATACCCTGTAACACAGTGTGGTGAAGGGTATAAAAAAAAATATTAAAAGAATTTTTTTTTTAATATTTTTAATTTTTTATAAAATATTAAATTTTTTTAAGATTTTTTTTTAAATAAATATTTATTTTTTAAATATTTTTTTTAAATATTTTTTTTAATATTTGTAAAAAATATTTTTAATTTATATATTTTTATTTATATATTTTTTTTATTATTTAAAAAAAAATATTTTTTATATAAAAATATATTTTTTTAAATAGGAATTACTAATAAAAATAAATAATATATATATATATATATATATTTTTTTAATATTTTTTTAATATATTTTTTTAAATATTTGTTAAATATATTTTTAATTTTTTATTGCTTTTTAAATTCTTTTTTTAAATATATGTTCAAATATTTTTTATTATTTAAAAAATATATTTTTTATATAAAAATATATTTTTTTTAAATAGGAATTATTAATAAAAATAAATATTTTTTTATAAAAATATATTTTTTAAATAGAAATTATTAATAAAAATAATGTATATATATTAATATTTTTTAAAATATATATTTTTTAAATATTTGTAAAATATATTTTTAATTTTTTATTGCTTTTTAAATTCTTTTTTAAATATATTTGCAAAGAATTTTTATTATTTAAAAAAAAAATATTTTTTGTATAAAAATATATTTTTTAAATAGGAATTATTAATAAAAATAAATATTTTTTTTTATAAAAATATTTTTTTTTTTTTGAAATAGGAATTATTAATAAAAAGAATATCTTTTTATATATATTTTTTATATTTTTTTAATTTACCTGATAACGCTGCGAACAACAACGTCCACAGCATGACTGCACCAAACCCATGGCACTGTTGGTCGAATGGGCCGGACTGGCCATTGGTGATGGTGAACGGGGGCGTTTCGCTTGGCCCCCATTGAATGGTATTTCCATTTCCACAAATTCACGGTCCTGGGGTATTTTTTGTTTTATTTTTTTTAATCAATTTTTTTTGTTTTTTTTAATTTTTTTTTTTTTTTTTTTTTTGAAAAAATATAAAAAGAAATTTTTATTTTTTTTTTAATGAAAAATATTTTCAAAAATTCGTTTTTTTTACCAAATTTCTACAATAATTAAACACAAATGCAACAAAAAGTTGAAAATCAATTTTTTTCAAATATTACATTTTTTTTTTTGTTATAAGCAATTGACAACAAACAACATGGAAATGGTGTTTTATACATTTAAAAGATTTTGTTGGTATACAATTTTTTTTTAATATTTTTAAAAATTTTTTGAACATTAAAGACACAAGTTTGATTTTTTTTTACTCAGACATATATGAAAATATCACAGATGAGTTTGGTTATGTGACTATAAGGCCAATTATTTTTTTTTTACTTTAGAGACAGAAGAGGAGGGTACACAACTTTACTGATTAAAAGTTTTATTTTTTTACTAAAGAACGAAGAGTTACAAATTTTTTTTAACAGTCAAAAAAAGTTTTCTACCAAACGGAAAAAAAGTTTTCTTATTTATTTTTATTACTTTATGACAATGACTGGCAGGATGGCAAACAGACTCACTGGCATGGAATGTGTTAGTCTTATACAAGTAGAAAGGGTGGGGTAGATTACTATTGTTGTACTACAAGAAAAAGTTTTTTATGTCCTTGAGGAGGGGGATGATGATGAGGGAGGTGAAGTATTTTATTTGGGTTGATGGCAGTGGACCATAAAACATTTATTCATTACATTTTATAGAAAGTACATAAAATATATGTGCCGAGAGAAAGGGGGAGACTAGAGAGAGAAGGGGGAGGAGATGTTAGCTAAATATGTAGGCTAATGTTTTTTTGCTCCCATAGGATTTTAAACACGTTCCTTGGGATCTGTCTCTGTCATTTATTTTCCCTATTAAACATTTTGCAAGGAGATTACTAATTCAGTTCCTGTCATTTCTATGGCGGCTATTATTCACCAATATGCCCAAAAGCCATCATTTACAGCCACTTGAATGGGGGCAAATGCATCTAAAACCTTTAGGAAATCTGACAATGGGGATTATATCAAAAAAATTTACCTATATTCATAATTTTATATATATATATATATATATATTATGTAGTTCAGCCTTCAAGGGGGTTATATTCCAAAATGGATCTATATTCATAATTTTCTCTATATATTGGGCTATGTAAAAAGGGGCTATATAAAAAACCAGTAAGGAAAGTAGTAAAGTCGGACTGGGCCGACTATATGATACCCTTCACCACTTTGGGTATATTCTACATAACAGACGACGCGTTTTTGTTATATAATTATATCTGAACCGATTTCAGAGAAACTTGAAAGAGACTAATTTATATTAAATCAGTACGTTGTTTCAATCCGCCTAGCTATGGATCTTTTCACGAAGCTTTGCAATATCATCCTAGACTTAATTCAGTACCCTATACCAAAATTCGCCCCAATCGAAAGATATATAGGGACTTAGGTGCACCAATTAGAAAAAATCGGACGAAAATATATATGGAAGCTATATCTAAATCTGAACCGATTTTCACGAAACTTAGGACACATCATTATAGACGCAATTCAGTACACTATGCCAAATTTCGTACAAATCAAAATATTTCCAAGGTCTTTGGTGCACCATTTACCTAAAATCGGGCGGAACGATATATGAGAGCTATATCTAAATCTGAACCGATTTTCACGAAACTTAGCACACATCGTTCTAGACCTAATTCATTGTGCTGTGCCAAATTTCGTGAAAATCGGCACAGATATAGGGACTTTTGTACACCATTTATCTTAAATCGGGTGAAACTATATATGGGAGCTATATCTAAATCTTAACCGATTTTCACGAAACTTAGCACACGTAATTCTAGACATAATTCAATACGTAATACCAAAATTCGTGCAAATCAAATGATTTTCAGGGACTTTGGTGCACCATTTACCTAAAATCGGGCGAAACTATGTATGGGAGCTATATCTAAATCTGAACCGATTTTCACGAAACTTAGCACACATCATTCTAAACCTAATTCAGTACGCTGTGCCAAATTTCGTGCAAAACGAAAGATATATAGGGACCATTTACATTAAATCGGGCGAAACTATATATGGGAGCTATATCTAAATCTGAACAGATTTTCTTCAATTTCAATAGGGTTCGTCCTTGGGCCAAATAAGTGACATGTGCCAAATTTCATCCAAATCGGGTAATAATTGCGACCTGTACTTTGTTCACAAAAATACATGGATGGACAGACGGACATGCATAAATCGACTCAGAAAGTGATTCTATGCATATTCCCAAAAGTAACGATGGGTCTATCTCGATTATTTTTGCCTGTTACAAACATATACACAAAGACATAATACCCTGTACCACAGGGTATAAAAATTACCTATATTTATAATTTTCTCTATATATATTGTGGGCTAGCCTTCGAAGACTCTGTTTACCAAATTACAGCCAAATCGGTTGAAAATGTGTTAAAACCCCCCAAAATTTCGAAAATAGGTCGGAACCATTATAAGGTAGCTATACCAAAACGTGTAGCGATATTTATAATTTTTTAGTCGGAAGATTTTAAGCACCATGAGAACCTGCAAAATTAAATTACAGCGAAGTCGATTGTAAAACGTGGCCAAAGTCCCCAAAATACCAAAAACTGGAGGGTATCGCAATCTTTGGGTGATACCCCGAAACATGGATCAATATTTATAAATTTTGGTAGGACGATTTTCCAACTAATGAGCATCCGTAATACAAAATTACAGCTATTTTGGTTGTAAAACTTGTCCAAGCACCCCAAAATATCGAAATTTTAGAGGTACTCTTATTTGGAGGGTTACCCTTATATGGGAACTACCCTAAAATCTGGACCAATTTGGATAATTTTCGTTAGAGAAATTTGCCAATTAATACACCAAATATCAAATTTCAGCCAATTAGGATTGGAAAAGTGTTCTAACTCTCCAAAATATCGAATATTGGGGTATACCGCTCTTTAGTGGGTCTAGCCTAAAAAGTGGACCCAAATACCCCATTTTAAGTACTACCAATGTGTTTTGCAAATTTTCTATTATCATGGATAAGTAACATGACTAAATCGTTTTTTTTTTATTCAGATCAAGACTATGTCTACCATATGGGGTCTCAGCCTACCATATGTGGTCTCGGCCTATATATGTATAATATATAGGGTCTCGGTCTCAATGTGTTGCGAATGAAAAGGCAAATTTACCCTTCACCTTGCGGAGTGGACGCGCTAATAATGTTAATTTTCTTTAAAATGGGTTAGACTGAAAAAGAAAACCTTGTGGCGCCTAAAAGTATGCAACACGCATTAAATTAAAACTAAAGTTATAAACAATATCAGCTGATTGGTTTTGTTATTGGAATTTTTACTGTAATCATGCGTTAATTATTAATTTTTTTTTTCTAATGATATCGAAGGTTTTCCATTAAATATTTTAAAAAAAAGTGGAAAAGGTTATTAAATAATATTTTTTTGAAGATCACTACCCTATGTGAACCTTATATAAGAATGTTTTAAAAAACAATTATGCCTAGTATCTAAATTGGGTTCAAAGCTCTTTTTTTAATTTGTGAAAAGTTAAGTTAAGTGTGTGTGTGTGCTATTTTTGAAAACTTCTTTATAGACCTCTGACAGACTAAATTGTGCAAATAAGGGATTTACAATGTGTTCGGAACTTCTAAACATTTGGAATTAACCGGTGCCGAATAACCACAAACATTTGTAGAAAATTAACGCAATTTTTTCCTATTTTAACATGTGTCGCTAAAATTTTTGTTGTTCTAAAAAAATTTTTATTCTGGGAAATTATCCGGGATCCTTTGAACCGAACACAGCGTTTACTTACACTCGAGAAAACCTGCTGTAATGTCACTTCCTTCAAGGAAAAAATATTGTAAAATAAAATAATTATTTATTGTTGTAATTGTTTTGGGGTGGATTTTCAAATAGTCATGTGTGATTGGTGAATGGTCATATGAAGTGCCATGATTGCCATTAAAATTAAATAAATTAATTTGAAAAGAAAAAAAAATAAATAAATATAAGAAAAGAATAAAATTAACCTGAAGCTTAGTCGCTGGACCGGCCCTATTATACTCAACACCACTTGACGAATTTTTTTTTTTACAATTATTATTTTTTTTTAATTTCAAAAAAATATATGTTTTAAAATAATAAATAAAATGACTCAGTAAGGAAATCGGACGGAAAATATATAAGGGAGCTATATATAAATCTGAACCGGTTTCCACGAAACTTCACGTACATCATTCTAGATTTAATGCAATGCCCTATGCCAAATTTCGTGCAAATTGCAAAAATAATTAGGGACTTTGGTGCACGATTTACCTTAAATCGGACGAAAATATATATGGGAGTTATATAAAAATTTGAACCGATTTTCACGAAACTTAGCACATATCATTATAGACTCAATACAGTACGCCATGCCAAATTTCGTGCAAATCGAAAGATATTTAGGGATTTTCGTGCACCATTTACCTTAAATCGGACGAAAATATATATGGGAGCTATATATAAATCTGAACAGATTTTCACGAAACTTTACGTACGTCATTCTAGGGCTAATTCAGTACGCTATGCCAAATTTCGTGCAAATCGAAATATATTTAGGGCTTTTGGAGCACCATTTACCTTAAATCCGACAAGAATACATATGGGAGCTATATCTAAATCTGAACCGATTACCACGAAACTTTACACTCATCATTCTAGACTTAATTTAGAACACTATGCCAAATTTCGTGCATATCGAAAGATATTTAGTGTCTTTGACGCTCCATTTACCTTAAATCGGTCGAGAATTCATATGGGAGCTATATCTAAATCTGATCCGATTACCACGAAACTTAGCACACATTATTCTAGACTTAATTCAGTACGCTATCCCAAA